CCTGCTGCAGTGAACCAGGAGGGAAGTATTTGTGGCATTTCACTCCAGAGAAAGATGACATCAGGAAACCAGCTGAGATAGTGGCAGATAACATTGTGAACTGGCTCAGAGAGAGGAACGTAGACCAGACCCTGCAGGCCATTGGAGGGGACAGCACCAACACGAACACAGGGTGGCAAGGGGGGTCATACAGTGGATAGAGCAGAAGATTGGGAGGAAGCTGGTCTGGATTGTTTGTGACCTCCACACCAACGAGTTGCCACTCAGACATCTGATCCTGGAGCTGGATGGCAAGACTCTTTCAAACAACAGATGGTCTGGTCCTCTTGGCAAGATGCTGGACTCTGCCACTGAATTAGAAATAAATCCGAGCTTTGAAAAAATCACAGTTGGCCCTCCACTCGTTGAGCTTGCACATACTGTCATTGACGACCTGAGTACTGACCAGTACTATGGTTACATGATTTGCAGTGCCATCAAAACTGGGGTCATGCCTGATAGACTTGCTTACCTGCAGATAGGTCCAGTCTCACATTCTAGGTGGCTCACAACGGCTCTCAGGTTCTGCAGAATTTGGGTCGCTCATCATAAACTGAAAGGGAACCAGCTTCACAACCTGAGACTTATTGTCCAATTCATCGTGAGTGTCTACTTGCCAAATTGGTTCAACACCAAGGTCAAGTCATCGTTCTCCGAAGGTCCGAGGCATGTTCTCTTCCAGCTTGAGCTCCTGAGGAGTCAGCCAAGGAAGGTTGTTCAGATTGTGGAGCAGACTGTGAGGAGATCTTCCTGGTATGCTCATCCCGAGGCAGTTCTGCAGACAATACTCTGCAGTAAGGATGAGGAGGAGAGAAGAGTGGCAGTCAAAAAGATCTTGGATATGAGACTTATGAGAGGATCTGGGCATGACGAATCAGTTGGTGACGATTCCTTCAGGGTCAGGAAGACTCCTGAAGTCAATCTAGGTGCCAAGACCCTCACTGATCTCATAGATCTGGATAACATCCAGGCTGGCAGTGAGCCCCCTCTTACCTGCAGCCTCACCAATGTTCAAGTCAGAGCTTTCCTGGACAACCCCATGCATGTCCCTGCCTGGCCCTCGCACACCCAGAGTATAGAGCGTTGTGTACAGCAAGTGAGCGAGGCCAGCAGTCATGTGTACAGCCAGGAGAGGAGGGAAGGCTACATCCGAGCTCAGGTGGTCAGCAGGGAGGTGATGAGTAGAAACAGAAGCAAGAAAGACATGTTCTCTATGGTGTGCAGCAACACCGGGTCGTAGTAGTAAAACCGGTTTTTGTATTTGATGATTTTGTTTTCTAAAGGAATACTAAATTTAATAAATGTGTCAAGATCATTCGTTTCACTATTCTGGATCATTTTCATCCTAATAAATTAACCTGATACATTTACTTTACTTTAAATAAGCTATTTAGTGGTGTTGGTAAAAGGGTGGGAATACTGAATTTTCATAAGATTTCAAGTTAAAATTTACCTAGCAAAAAATAAAAACTTTTCAAATCTGAAGATATCACATGATTCTGCACATAGAACTACATCATTAATACCATGGGCCGATTTTTCAAACTAAAAAAAAAAAAATTCGCCTCCATATGACACACCCTAATATACAAGGTGTGTGTGTGTATGTGTGTGTGTGATAGAATCCACCAGAATATGTAATGAAAAAATATATATGTGAAATCATCTGAGAGAATGAAAACCAGAAAATTTAATTAATTTAGATAACAAGTAAAGAAATTTGTTTTGAGAATTTCTGTAAAATTACTTTGAAAAGTAATATATTGAAATGTTAGTCATTTTGTTTGGAGAGAGTGAAGTGTGGGCGTGTGGGTGTTATCTCCCCACAAGGCGGGATATAATTATACGTGAGCACCTTTCAGGTTTTATCCATTTCACGAAAATTATTGTGATTCATGTGACCCCTGTTTAACTTGCTGGGAAGATAGGTTAATGTTTTGAAAGTGTTACTGATCATTTTGAGAAACATAATAAATAAACGAAGAACCATTATGAGTAGTTCTCACTTCTAAGTGTCTTTGGTGTATACAGTAATAGAGCTAGTCCTAAGTAATAACTATTTCATGTTATCCCTATTCCCAGTTATCAACGCCCCCGTCCATTCTTCTACTCTCGGTTAGGCCGTTAGCCTCCTCCCCCTCACCCCCTCCCCTCAACGATATATTTTAATCTACATGTTGTCTCTATGTTTCTTATGTTTTTGTATTGAAAGCTTTTGTCAATTAAGTGACCCACTCCCCGATTTCACCATATGTACCTTATCATATCTGTTTATTGTCTATTTTCAGCCTTCGGGCTGCCATGTTATCTTAATAAACCATTAATTATTATTATTATTATTATTATTATTATTATTATTATTATTATTATTATTATTATTATTATTATTATTATTATTATTTGTATTCTTGTTATTATTATTTTGATTATGATTGTTATTGTTATTGTTATTGTTATTGTTATTGTTATTGTTATTATTATTATTATTATTATTACTATTATAATTATAATTATAATTATAATTATTATTATTATTATTATTATTATTATTATTATTATTATTATTATTATTATTATTATTATTATTATTACTATAAACAAGTCTCCCTCTCTCCCTCTCTCGCTCTCCAGTCCGATCACCTCTCATTATCTCACAAGTAAACAAAGAAGGGAAGAATTGCGAATAAGGAGAGAGAATTAGAGAATAAGGAAGGAGTTAAAGTGAGTAAAAGTAAAAAGAAATAAGATATAAAAGAATAAGAAGAAAGGGATAATAAAATGATTTACTGTTACAATCATTATCATTAGCAGTAGTATTTGTAGGTCGGGGAAAGAGGCAGAGAAACTGAAATTTACAGTACACGGAAAGCAAGTCACTGAGGATGTTGGCGGAAAGTTTGGTAACAAGATGCGAGAGGGAAAAGTATCCTCGTCGGGAAGATCTCTCTCTTAAAGAAGAATCTTCTCGTGGTTGGAGAGTCATCCTCAGCACTAATAAGTTGGTGCCGTAGAAAGTCACCTATGCAATACCACCGCCGCCCTTGCAAGAAATTTACCAACTTCATGCTACCATCACCTATATGCTCTGACGACCTGCCACCTCACCCCCTCGACAAATATCCAGGATGTAGGCCTATATGGGTTGGAGGGGTTAATGATGTTGTTAGGGCAACTGCATGTATGTGCTGGCCACCAGACTAGGGTCAAGCTGCCAGTCGAGTCAGGGGAGAAAAATATTTGAGCAGAGCGATTGTGACGCCGTTCCCCTGGTTAACACCTCCATTACATTCAACACTGTACAATATCAAGATCAAGTGTCCAAGCTTTGCATTGTATGTTGAAAACACCTACAGGAACCCATCAGACCTCTATAAAAAAAGTTTCTAGGCTCTAAAAGGAGATACCATCATACAGTTAACTACGGAACTACGCAAGGGGGCCCTGTCGTCATGGTAATGTACGCACTAGGCTTATCCGTGTTCCAACACACAACAAAATTCGAAACAACCACGGTTAAGCAAGTGGCATATGCTGATGATCTTATAAGAGCAGGAAGAGTAGAGGATATCGGAAAGTGGCGGAACCTGGTTATATCACATGGTTCACAAATAGGGTACCACCCAAATGTCAGCAAGTCCTTCCTCATTGTGAAACCTGAACAATATGAACGAGCAATGGAGGAGCTTACTGCCACCGAACATCAGAACTCAGTTAGGCTCACGTCAGCCCTCACAGAGCACATAATAGCTCAGAATGCAACGAGTGAGGTAGATACCAACGAATTAAACAAGATTCGACGGTCCATTACGACAGATCGACAGCATACCCAAAGTGATAAATTGCAGCAACTGATGCTGCAAGTGCCATACAACTTGAAGAAAAAAACAGCTATACCGCAGGTGGTGGGCGCCTTGAACTGGTTAGCAACGTTACCGATAAGGGCAAATGGTTTCAGCCTTAATAAACAAGAATTCACAGATGCCATTGCTTTAAGGTACGGTAGGCCAGTAGAAGGTTTGCCCTCCCAATTCGTGCGTGGCTCTTCCTATGACATCGACCACGCCATGGTGTGCAAGAAAGGGGGCTTCGAATGCATGAAGCATGGCGAAATAAGGGATCTCACAGCAAATATGTTGAAGGAAATCTGCCATGATATCAGGGTGATAATTTCCATCACAGGACTTCAAACACGTCCAACGAAGCCCGTTTGGACGTCAGCGCTCGAGGATTCTGGAGGATAATCCATCCCATGGCCGCATGTCACCGTAACCTCGCTCTCCATGCTGCACATAGGAGAAACGAGAATGGCAAGATTAGGTGCATATGGGGAGAGAATTCTGAATTTTGATCAGGGCAACTTCACTCCTCGGGTGTTCACAACCTCTGGTGGTTATGGAACCAAGTGCAAGATATTTCTATGGCAAACTCGCGGAGATGCTATCTCAACGGAAGCAGCAACCCAGAAGTTACGCTATAGCCTGGTTGAGATGTTGACGGTCCTTCTCTCTGCTTAGGTCTGCATTGCTTTGCCTCAGGGGAACGAGATCGTCGGCCCCAAAGCCGACAACGGTCGCAGATATTGACTATATTATGAGGCAACAGCCACTGAATGCTGCATAGATCTGCGGCTCAACTAACTCAACACAGTTAGGGTAGCTACTTTTGTATTAGAATATTTAATTATAAGGTAATAAAATGACAGCGAAGTTGTGGCTATTGGGGGAGGCTGTAGGCCACGATTAAAAAAAAGTAGTATTAGTAGTAGCAGTAGTATTCAGGACGTGACAATCTGATAAGGACAGTGGAAAAGATAACAAAATTGCCCTTTAATATTAATCTTGCAGTTAATTAATATAATACATAAGCCAAGGTGCAAAGAGTTTAAACAATAGCAGTTTGATATATCCTATACATAGATATTGTGATTTAAAACTGAGTACGATGGAGGATGGATCTCTTACCCAGCATAATCTCCTGGTAGTGCTCGCCGGTGGTGTAGCTGAAGATGGTGTTGAGGCGAGCCAAGTGAAAGAACCGTATCCGCACACAGACAGTCCACTGCCGGAGTTCGTGAACAGGAATGAAACTACCACACAAATTAATAACCCATTTGGTCTGGCACCGGAATTCTGTATAGGATTCCATCAAGATCCACATAAAAAAAATAATCGGGGGCTTGCCATAGTACAAAAAGAGGTTATCATTTCTCTTTTCTTATACTGTTAGGTAAGAAATGAGAAAGCTGTGTTTGAGGCGATGTTTTGTGTTTGTCGTAAAGTATTACCTGAGTGAGATCCGGGATGGCATTCTCCCCGCTATCAACGTAGCTTTCACGAGACGCCATATCCATGCTCTGTAGGCGTACCACCGTCACTTCATCAGCCACGACTATTTGAACAAAATAAGAAAGAATGACAACAAAAATTTTCAAAACTATATATCTACAATTAAAAACGCATTTTTATATAATCATAAATATAAACGGATTTTTATGAATTTAAATTATTGCTACAGGTTTGGGTCTTGAACAGTACCACGAGAATTATGAAGGAACAGGGAAGTTTCAGCACAGAAAAAAATACTGGCTAAAAAAATTAACCATAAAGAAAATTTGATTCTGATTACTGTATAACTGTATGCTACTGCTGACAGGTCATTAGTAAAGAACAAAAGCATTATTCCCTTAAAGTTCCATACTCGTGTAATTGAGAAAGAAATTGGGAAGATTTGACCTCCTTCACATTAACCTCTACTTTCCTTAGAAACAGACTCCAGACTCCAATATCCTAATTTTTTCGAGGAATTATTAACGAGAAACATTTGTCTAAACAGACAAATACCATATGAAAGTTAACTGAAGGTTCCTAAAGAATGTGACCAAAGTATCCCTAAAACAAGTCTTAAGAGGCTGAGACATCCTCTGCATTATTAGCCTGTGATATGATATACCCAGATCCACTACCTGCACTGCACAACCTATGTATCTACTTTACTCTCGCAGCCTGTGAGGTAAATGCCCAGGGAGGAATGTGAGTTCAGGTGAAATCAATAAAAAACAGTTCTACTCAGAATCCTAACCATACAATTAGTATTGTGCCTAACAGGCCCCATGGATGCACGTATACCTTTCAGTCATCCAAATAGATAATTACTCACTGTTGAAGGACCTCGAATGTTACTGTAGAAAGTTTCGTGAAAACTGTAGGACTACCCAAAGATCAGAAAGAAGACCATTAAACTAGACAGTCTTTCCCCTGACAAAAAGTTAGTAACTACCGAAAGGCTTAAGAAAAAGTACTTGCCAAGAGACATTATTTTTGTTAACCGAAGTCGACACAATCCTTCTTCAAACTCCACCTTACTTGGAGAATACTCGACAATCTATGCTTGACATCATGAATGAATTCATGCAACAACTTTAGGTCAATGATAGTCACTGAACCCTTGAAGCTTTCCACTCGTGACGTGAAGTGTGAATCACTTGTTTCCACAATATATCATCAACAAAATCTAAAAATATGTCTGACCCTGACGTTTCTGGTAACCCGTGACCAGGCACATCACCCATATATCCTTGCCATTCAACTGACCTCTTGGCCAACACTGAGGACAGATCAGCCTTAAACTACGTAGACATAATCACAATCACATAAAATGAGGAAAAATTGGACAATCCAAAACACATACTATTTCTCAAATACCGAATCCGTCTACATGAATTTGAGTAATGGTATGTACAAACTGGATAATTTCGTAATTAAGAAGATTTGTAACCAGGTGAGAAGGTTGGGTCATCTTACCCTCTGACCTGACTACCGACCGTTGCGGTGCTTTTTGAAGAATATTAGGGTCATTACCTAATACCTGACCATTGTGGATTTGATCTCACCCTCCTCTGTATCTATCTATATATATATATATATATATATATATATATATATATATATATATATATATATATATATATATATATATATATATATATATATATATATATATATATATATATATATATATATATATATATAAAAAACACGAAGTTCCCAAGCGCTTTCGTGTAATTCACATCTTCAGGCGTGAGTACAATCTGTACTCACCCCTGAAGATGTGAATTACACGAAAGCGCTTAGGTAAAAAAAAAATCAGTGAGTTAGCTATCAAATCTTACATCAGAGTACATGTACAGTCGGGGTCAAAAGTTCGACTCCCTCCCAAAATAAAGCAGCTTCGACCCCGAATGAGATAAAACAACACAATTGCACCAGAAGACAGGCCGGAACTGACATACTGTCCGAAACAGTGAGTCAAGTTAACAACACATATCTCACTATATTCGAATTACATCAAATTTTTATCTTGCAAATTTAAATTAAAGGTAAGATAGATAGCCTCTCCCTAGAAAGACAGTGAGTCTCCCAACAATTTGCGTCAGTATGCTGTATGTCTGGTTCCGGGGAACGATGTTTCGTCCGCGACTATACTTCAACATGGAGTACCTCTTGCTAGTTCATATTATCTTTTTAATGCACAGTTGAAAACACACACACACACACACACAAACACACACACACACACACACACACACATACACACAAACACACACACACACACACACACACATACACACACACACACACACACACACACACACACATTCGTGATACTCACATGGCATCGGGAAAACGTGTAGTATGGCGAGAAGGTAAAAACTGGTGACTCCTGGTGGCATCGCAGAGAAGAGTACAGATGCCTTCCTGTAAGCATGAATGTCCGTATATTTTCTTGTATATTATTTTCTTACGTTAATATAAATGAGATCTTCGGTGCAGTATACCACCCTCTAATATTAAACTTAACTTATTACTCAAAACCTTAATGTTCATTTGAACGAGTGATAGTTTGTTTAGTGAAAGAATACATTTGTTTGCCCAGCAATAAAATCATGATTAAACAATTGATTTGATTGGTATAAACACACGAGTAAAAAACAGCCTAATCACAATTACTGTCACACCTTCAGTACAGAAATTTGGGGCAGAAATGAACATTGGTTTAAGTTATTTTAAACGCAGCAATAAATTCGCCCACAAAAATGCGTCACACTTTGGGTTGTGTTGGACAGGTAGATACAGGTCGTGCAAAATGTCCAAAGTATCAAGATTCGTGCCTGCGTCCCCACCAGTCCACTCTATTGTTGAAGAAGTGGACGCGGTCGTGTGAGGAGGCGGCCAGAGTGCCTTCTGTTACTAACACCCATCACTTTCTTTGTTCACTCTTTATTTCTTACCACGATATAAAGTTTCGGTTCAACTCCTTCATATCCATTACACAGATTAAGAAGGTTGAATTTAAATTATATAAAGCTTGGATAAGCTTTTAACATAAATTATCGAGATAATTATTTTATCAATGCAAAAGAAATCTTACATTTTGTCATATATTACGTTCAGTATTCTTGTAAATCTTAATATTTCAGTAATTATCTTCTTGCGAGGGAATCGATGTTCTTGATTAGAACGACAGATAAACACAGTCAGTACCTCCCCAGCATGAAAGTGGGTGCAAACTACAGTCATTATACATTGGTGACAGTTACTGTATGTAAGACGAAAGACCTTTTCTTATTTGGCTGCTATTATACTCAATATTTTAGTCTTGTTAATACATTTAAATTCTCCTCAACACAATATGTGTCACATATTCATATTCATTTCGACATCATAGACATAATTTCATGAACAAAACAAGCTTTTTTCTTGTTCCAAAGAGTGGATGTTAAGCGAAGAAAAATACGTGACTTCTCTCAGTTTTTTCTAATGTGTGAACTGACTTCTTTTAGGGGGCAAATGAAAGACTTTAAGTTATGAAACAATAAATACATAACACCAGCAACACCGCTAAGTGTAATTTACCTTGCTCATAAATCTCACTACAAGGCAACGACATCGTGGTAAAAGATAGTAGTAAATGTACTGTTTGCGGTGTACGCCATGTGAATAAGTATTACATACCTGAAGGTCAGCTTATAGGCAACACAATGACACGGATAAAAGTGAGCTGTGGACGGTGTCGAACATATTATACCCTCGGTTACTTTCATTATATAAAGGCCAAGCTAAGGTTTACACAGGAGGCGGAGCTAGAGTCAATCACCCATCTGATAGGTGCACGTGTTAGCAATCTCACCGAAAACGCTGTGATTGGGTAGAGAGAAATGTATTTGTGATGTAAGATGTGAACTTAGTGAAAACGAGAAACAAAGGCGCGTTCTTGTATTCATTTTTAGATTGATGTCAACATGTGGAAGGATGCTCGATATGACGATAATATTTAATGTTGCGGTGTTTGAATGACAATTTATTCCTTTGATAATAATAATGATGTTACGCTGTAGACTGATTTTAACATACGTCTCCAGATCTCATGCAGTGGCGGTCTCGACAGTCTACAGGTACTGGTGCAGACTTTTAAAATTTTCAAAAAATATTTCAATAAAAGGCTCGTACAGTATATAAATAAATAGTTCTTGAGGAAGGATCACACATTTGTTATATATATATACACACACAATGTTAGGCATGAGTGGTTGTAGGCTAGGTTATAAATAGCAGAATTAGTAGTTGCTAAAGTTAATATGAAAACACATAAAAGCAGTTTGGTACTGACACATACACACACACACGCACTCTCATTATTATCCTGACCTGTGTAAAACCACTGGTGTACCCTCAGTTCTATCACTTGAACTGTCTTGTCTAGGCGCCACTTGTAGTTTGACACATACATATATCTACAGAATAATCCCTGTTGATGTGGAATATCAGCTCACTTCAACGTCATCGTATCTCACACAAGTCAATTCGAAAATAGAGTCGTTGATTTATTTCCAGATACTGGTACAAGAGGACAAGATACAACCTTTGTTGTTGAAGCCTCTTCCAAAATTCAATCGCATAGAATATGGGCATAAAGACACATATACACGCGCTTACATATGCATAGCACAGAGCGTACACATCACAAAAGATTCTGAACGTTCACATTTTATAACAGGATAAAATACATTACAGTACCTCTTCTGCATAGCGGGTATAATGGGATTGTCCTTCTGGCTGACAACGGAAGCTGAGAAGGGCAAGTATTTTTCTTGAGATGTGTAGAAATCACAACGAACTGTTAGGAATAGGTTTCTATTTATCTTGATTTGTGGGATGAAATTCCTTTGAAGAAAGTTTTCCAAATATTGTGAAATAACTATAAATTTTACTGAACAGGCCCGATCCTTTTTGATTAGATAATTGTTTTGAAGGGTATAGGACGGAACATACAACGCTTTGTTTTTTGTTTTTTGTTTTGTTTTTAACGGGCATAGATCATTTTTAATGACCCACATCAAGGCCAGGGGGGCGAGAATGTAACAAGGCAATAATAATAATAATAATGATGATGATGATGATGATGATGATGATGATGTATAGATAATACTAATAGTAAAATTAATACAAATTAATAACAATTATAATAAAAAACTATAAATACTAATAAAAAATTATAAATAATAATAAAAATAATAATAATATTATTATTATTATTATTATTATTATTATTATTATTATTATTATTATTAATGAGCTATAAATAAATACAAAAATTCAATAAAAATATCATGAGTGAGAAATTATATATGTACAGTATATTGTGTTGTCTAAGTAAGAGAAACAATTGAGACCCTGCAATTGAGTGTAAATGAGGCAGAAAGTCAGATCAGCAACCTGGGACTTGGTAACAATTTTTGTGATGCCATATGGCAGCAGGGTCTACCATTAGACAACACTTTATGCTTCCAATATCCAAAAGGTAAATCATTGACTACAGTAACCTGAAGTGTACGATCCTTTGCTGGCTAATAAAAGCGACTAACAAATGTTCGTGTGTAGTATTTACCAATGAGATTTCTGATTAAGACACCGAGACTAAAGTGACAGAGACAGTATTATGGCAAGTAAAAATGTATAATATGATATTAAAAAATGCACACGAATATATTCCACATTTATGGAGGCTCCGGTAAGGATGAGGTATGTGTTTCACGGCCTGGAGGGCCATGAGGTTGCCAGCGTAGCTCCGTGTTAACACCAGCATCATCAACATCCACACCGCCACTGTCGGCCGTTTCCACTACTAGTCAGAAGGAAACGAAACATCTAAATGGAAACGGCCCTTTGAAATGAATCAAGAAGATGGAAATGGAGGTAGAGTACAACCATTTCAGTTTATTTTTGGGTTTTCCTTTAAAACTGGAGCAAATTTTGATAAACAGTCACTACAAAAGTCCGGTACGAATCTGGTATGCAATGGATTTCTTGTAACGATAAAATGTAGTCTAGTATATATATATATATATATATATATATATATATATATATATATATATATATATATATATATATATATATATATATATATATATATATATATATATATATATATATATATATATTAGGGTGGTTCACAAAAAATAAAGTTCTCTATATTAGTAGTGCTCAATGTTTATTTGCGTCCTTTACATGAAAAAACATTTCAGGCGAAATTATAGGTAATTACAACTTCATTTAGGGTATGCACAAGTGGCCCGAAAATTCTACTACTCTAATGTTTTCTCCCTCTATAAAATAATTCTTGTTCCTGACATCAGATACACGCGATTTATTTGTTACTTTTATTTGTAGGTGTTTATTTTATCCAAAATATGAGATTAACATAAAGAACACATGTAAGAGAAACATACATCACAGAATATTAGCCTTCTTTATGTTGGGATACTGACGTCGATGTGAGGTGACCACCTGAAGCAATTACAGTACTGCTTTTGATCTTCGCTTTTCGTAATTGAAGAGTTGTAGTCCTGGATAAGCTTCACCGCTCTTTCGGCCACATCATTCACCACCTGCAACTCTTGTAGAATTTCCCTTGACTGAAGGAACTGTGGATCGTCATTCCATTGACTTGGATCTTTGGAGACGAATCCAAAATCCAGGAGCGTGGTTTGAAAGAAGCAGTTAGTATTTGTGGATGCAAGTTTTTTAAGCTCCAGTGATGGAATTTCTTCTTCTGTCACTTTCAGCTTCTTTGGACATTCCTTTTTCTCGTTCTCTCCCTTCATTGACTCAAGGATTTCTCTTTTCTCAGCATACGAAACACTATCACTGAAGAGAGCCAGAGCTACTGAGTCCTCACTTAAATACTAGAGATGCCGCTGGAAAGCCTTTGTTGCTGCCATTCCAATTGATTCATCTTTTTTCTCTCCATAGTAATGAAGTTGTTTGAGGAAGGATATATCATTGCTTGGAGCTTCAAACACTTTAGGAGCTTTGAACCACATTGGACCGTACACAAGAGCAACAAAAAGGGACATGGTCTGAATCAGCTTCTTCTCCTTGATAGTTAGCTGGAACCGGTGCTGAAACATGAATATCTGGAGAGAGTATAATGTTTTAGACATCCAACGAGCATGGTGTACGGGGCCAGGCTTTCCAAAACGAATCCCTCGGGGCGGAGTAACACCCAGGAATATCACACAAAGTTCCATAAGTCGGAGGTAATCGTCCCGGGGCTGAGTCTGCTTGAGAGCCTTCTTGTAGTAGTCGATAACTTTTTGCACCCATTCAGAATTTTCCTTCAACACTGCAGTGATATATCCATTGGTCTCTCCAATCTTGAATTCCAACTGCTTGATTTGATGCCACTGCTTTTTAAACCTCTGGAACAAGAGAACATCAAGACCACTAGATGACCCAGGAATGGCTTTGAAGACATCTCTAAGAACAACTTCCAAGATATGGTGTCTGCAAGGAAGGTATAGGAGATTTCTTCCCAATCTCTCTTCAATCAAGGTACAAGCTCCACGAACATGACCAGTGTTAGCGGCAGTGGTGTCAAAGCACATGGCGACAACCCGGTCATCGACATTCCAGTCTTTCAAAGTATCCACCACAGCAGTAGCTTGCGCCACTCCCGTTCCTGATGATAGGTGTGGAACGCCCAATAACTGGACATTCCCTACTGAAGAGGATACATCTTTCCCTGAGATCAGTATTGAGAGTTGTTCAACAGATTCCTCTCCTGTTAGAGATGGAAGGAGCTTACCATCCCAATGAACCACAATTCCAGTCTTGGCTCCTGAGGATATGACAGTTTGCTTCACAGAAGCAGTGTGATCTCTACGATATCGGATACGGGCTCTCCTGATTGTGGAACGGCAGATGGGCAGCTCACTAATGTTCCTTCCAAGGTCTGCTGCAGTAGCTGCCACAATATGAACAGCCTGTCGGTCACTTGTATTGGCTCTGTCCATGGCAGCAGCAAGACGACCTAAAACTATGTTTTCAGATTTGTTTTGAGATGATACATGAGAGGTTGACGGGCCAGGAACAGTAAAATCTGGATCCATTTCGACCCGAGGCATCTTTTGATATGAAGGGTGTCTTTCATCTTCATCAGAGCTGCTACTTGATTCCAACTGAACAGTCTGTAGCTCTTCATGCATCCGCTTTTTTGCCACTTTCTTTCGCATTTCTGCTTGCTGCTTCTGGTATATTTGCTTCATTTCTTTCTTGCCCAGGACTTTGTCAGGTTGTCCCATATGAAACTTGCGTTCTCCCTCTTGATCCTCCAAGAAAACGAGGAATTCCTTCAGCCGAATCAGATTTTCTGCATCATGATGCTTGATATTGAAGAGATGATTAATTTTTTTTTGAGAATTGTTTTTCTTTCTGTGTCTGTGGGTGACTCTTTCTGGTAAATCCTTTCTTTAGCTTCTCCCAGGTAATTAAGATTTCCTCTAGTGTTCGTTTGATATTGCGCTCCTCTTGAGTGGGGATGCGAGCTATTCTCCATATATCCATTGTTTCCTTCACCACTATACTGATACACTCCTTTTTTGTAAGAGTTGGCGTGCTTAGCTTGAGGTGATGGAAAAAACATTGAAAAACTTGTCTAAGAGTAGGCGACGTGACTTCGGCATGAATTCAATTGTATTTACTATGAGGTCGATAGCTGTCTTCTTAAATAGTGCATTCGACATTATTTCAGCCTGTAAGGAAAATGAATTTGGTGAAAAACACTTGCCATGTTATATATGATATAGTATATCATTGATATACTGTACAGTGTGCACATAGATGAAATAAGTAACATATAATAAACAACAGAATATGCTTGAAATAATGTACAAATTCAACGGAATCAGTATGCAAGATAAATTAGGCTCATAAGTACATGAAATGAACATCACAGAACACACCTTACAGTATGGGCTACAGCAGTAGGGGGTGGGCGGTGTTGACATGCAAAAGGTCCTGATTCTGCTAAATGCCTGGTTTAAAAGGCGGCGTGGCCGCCTGGACTCCAGGAGACTGCCCCCTCAAATGATGTTGTGAGGACCAGCTAGCAGTGGTGAACAACATCTCCCAATCGTGGCCGAGTTTTCTGTACTTGAAAAAATTACACAGTACTATCTTCCCTTGGAACACCATACTGGTTTGCATTGACCGGCACTTGTAAGTACAGCCAAAGTGATGACATATCCCCCAGTACTGAAATTTTGTGGCCTACTCGTTCCTGCCTTATCTGGAGCAATAAGCCAACGCGGAATGAAGTGTAGCTAAGATTAATAGTGTTATGAACTTTGTACCATGTCATTATGTTCAATAATCAATTATAATTAAGATAAATTGTGTGAGACAAACTAATTATGTATCAGATAGATCACCATGTAATACTAATGAACGCCTTGTTGTCTGCAGGTTTTGACCACATCAATAAATATTGAATGCGACAAAAGACCGGTTTCAATCATTCCCTTCGACGTACCCATCACCTGAACGTCCTTAACTAAGGCGCTTACAGTCAAAACAATTGCGGGAGGGCATCGAAAGGAATACTTAATTACCAGGAGAAAAAAAAAGGACCACAGCACACGTCACCAATGCCAGGAGTTCAGCGTGGAAGAACGTAGATCATCAGTCAACCACCCACCCACAGTGGGTGGGACATCGGCCCGGGAGACAATGTCTTGTGTTTAAATGAAGTGTTCAAATATCTGAGGGGTTGTCATAAAATTTCGGCTCAAGCGTATGGTGCTGTGAACGTTTGTTTACAACTAGCCAACCCTCGCACCCAGTGAACGAATATTCACTAAAGTCGGACAGCGTCGTAAAGTATGTGTGTGTCTGCACCAGTGATCAAAACGGGCAGCTGACCTGGTTTGAGGAAAACAAATAACCAACTCAACGAATTACAAGGTACGTGTAATTAAATTGACTTAATATCACCCCAAATTGTGACACCGTAAACAAACAGCAGTGATCCACTTGTAACCATAAGCCTTCTTCTGTGTTTCCATGCTCTTACACTCTGTCTCACTTTAAAAAGCTGGTTTTCCGGCATCTTCGTGGTGTAGATTAATACAGTATAACCTTTTTTTTCTATATTTTCAATTTCTTTCCGTTCTTTTTTTTCGCCCCCCAGGCTCCGTTGTGGGTCGTTTGACCTGTGCCCGGGTGGGCTAATTCCCGTAAAAAAAAAAAAAAAAAAACTTGCAACACCATAAGCAACCAACAGTGACCTACTATTGTCAAACATACATACAAACAGTGAGCCACACCACCGAACGCAAATACAGTCAGTGAGTAGTGGTTCATCGAACAAAACTTTGAGACCTAACCGAAGCTGCAAATAATTCTCAATAAGAGGACCAGAGGTAGTGGGAATGGATTCAGAGCAACGAAAGGGAAATGTGAACATGGAAGAAGGTGACCGAGACCCAGAGGCAGAAGTTGTCCCTCCGGAGCTGAACGACCACGATGTTACGGCTACAGAAGCTGAAAGGGGCCACCCTCTGCCTGATTCTGAATGCTCAGCACCTGACCAAAATCCCGGATCTAACATAATGGCAGAAGTGAGGAAGAACTGTGACTGAAATGCTTGAAGCGTATTTTGCAAAAGGGAACACAGCACGACGTTTGGACGTAGGGAACGACAAACCCAGGCTGAAGACAACATCAGGGGGGACTCTTGGCAAGTCTCCCACTGGGATGACTGGACGCCCCAAGGGCCGCAAGGAATCGACCGACAAAGACGAAGACGTGCAACGAGTTGAAATGGAGCAGCCTGAAAGGGGAGAGAAGTACGGCGGCAAGGAAGAATCCTGCAGCACCTCATCTTCACTGAAGGATATGTTGTCATCCTACCACATGCAAAATGCACGCATCCCTACTTTCAAGGGGGAGAGCCGTGGAGAATATTGGGACTACATGAATAGCTTCAAGAAATATGTGGGAACCTCCGCTGCCCCAGATTCGGAGGAACTTCAAATGTTAATCCACTCGTGTTCAAGTAATATTCGGAATGTTCTCAACCCATTCACCAGGATGAAGTCCTCTGAGGGCTATGGAAAGGTCCTGAGCACCCTGAAGGACCGGTATGGTGATGAGGATGCCCATATCGAAGAGTTATTGATAAACCTGATCAACGGACCACTTGTCAAAATAACCAACGGCGAGGGCCTGCAGGACTTGGCTGACGAACCTCAGGCGTGCATTTGCAGCTTCGAGTCCATGTACTCACAAGAAACCCTCGAGCATCTCCTCGTAAAGAAAGGCATAATTGAAAGGCTTCCTGGTCGTTTACAAGAAAGGTATGAGATTGCAGTCCTCGATCACCCTCCAAAGAGATATGGCCATATGAAAATAAGGGACACCTGGAAGTTCATACAAAGCAGAGCGAAGGAGGCAAAAAGGGCCCATACTCGATACACTAGTTTGAGATGCGAAGGAAAAGACCGATCTAGCAAACAAGCCATAACTCTTGTGACCAACGACGTGGGAGAACGAGATTGTCCACTTTATCATGGCCCTCATCAACTGCCACAATGCTCAAACTTCCGGAAGTTGACAAAGATGGGAAAAAGGGACCCAGTCAAATAGTTGGGCTATTGCTTCTTGTGCCTAAGGGGCCGGCACCAAGCTAGCAACTGTATGTCTTGCTTCCGCCCATGCGACATCGACGGGTGTGGGAAGGCACATTCAAAATGGCTCCACCTGCCAAAGGAAGGGACAGACATGTCGCCAAGGAAGGCAAGTGGGAGCAGCAGCCAGATCATAAAATTGAATAGTGTAGATGCTGACGTTAAGGAAGGCCGATGATTCAAGAGAGAGCACAAGGACTGTGACTTCGAAGATAGAGAACAGAGTGGTGGAACTGGAGGAAGGAAGAATAGAAAGAGAGAGCCCCAAGAAGATGACCAAGGCAATCAGCTGAGGCGGTTCGACCCAGCCGACAACAGACAAGGAGAGAGGACACATGTGAATTACGCGGATACTACTGTAAAAAGGCGAGATCAATGACTAAGCCAAGACAAGGTCGTGCTTCCACAACTAGAAGTACAAGTAATAAGGAAGGGGTTTACAGGATCGGAGAGAACCACGGCGCTACTGGACACAGGCAGCGACAGGTCTTATTGTGCCAAACGACTGATCGAAGGACTAAGAATACGAGGGAAACCAACATCGCTCTTTATATACACGTTAACCCAAGGGGAACAATGTAACACCACATAAGTAGATCTGGTAGTAAGAGGCATTAACATCTGGAGAGCGAAGTGCCCAATATCCCTTCCTAAGGTACTAGTACTTGACAGACTGCCATCTTCTTTAGAAAACTCAACAGCTACAGCCCTAGACATAGATGCTTGGGGACATCTTCGAGGACTTGCTCCACTTCCACCAAACAGACGAGTCGCAGAGTTACTGATTGGACAAGATTGCCCAGATGCCCTGATTCCCCTCGAGTGTCGGACAGGGCTGGATAGAGCACCTTTTGCAATAAGGACAAGATTGGGTTGGACGAGTAATAGGCCCCTGATGGGCAATTTAACTCACAGGTTTACAACGGAATGTTCCATTCTGACCGCTTCTACAGAAAAAAAACTAGTTTGAAAGAACAGGTGAGGCGCTTCTGGGAGATCGAAGCGTTACACCAGACCACGGAAGATGGCTCCCCATCATCAGTGGAGGATAAACGGGTCATCGAGCTTTGGTCGTCGACTGAACAGAGAGTGGAGGGACACTACCAATTCCCAATCCCATTCCGGCGTCAACCGCCCTGTCTACCTAACAACAGAGCGCTCGCCGAGCGTCGCCTACTGGGACTAAAGAAACGCCTATCGAGGGACACAAGGTTGAGACTCCGGTACAAGGAGGAGATGGAAAAGTTATTCAACGAAGGCTTCGCCGAAAGAGTGCCACTAAGGCAATTATCGGAGTCCTGTGGAAGTAGCTGGTACCTGCCTCATCACCCAGTACTAAACCCCAACAAACCAGACAAGGTACGGATAGTCTTCGATTGTGCAGCAGCCTTCACGAAGACCTCACTCAACAACCAAGTGCTCCAAGGACCAGACCTCAACAACAAATTGATTTAGAGTACTCATGCGGTTTAGACAAGAGCCGATCGCCCTGATGGCCGACATCGAAGCAATGTTCCATCAAGTGAAGGTAAACCGAGCACAGAGACGCTTTACGATTCCTCTGGTGGGAAGGTGGAGATTTGACACAAACACCAATGACATGTAGGATGACAGTGCATCTCTTCGGAGGAGTGTGGAGTCCCTCGTGTGCGGCCTATGCTCTGCAACGGACCTTCCAAGACTTCGGAGATGAGTTCTCGGATGCCGCAAATAGAGCGAAATCAAACTTCTATGTAGACGACCTGCTCCTGTCAGTAACTGAACCAAAAGAAGCAATTATGATATATCGGCAGTTGCGGCATCTTTTTTCCCCTGGAAGGTTTCAAACTCACAAAATGGATCAGCAACGACAAAGAGGTCCTCAACACGATACCATTTGAAAGTCGACATGCTGGAGTGAAGGAAGTGAACCTGGAATGTGAAGACCTACCCACGGAGAGAGCCTTGGGAGTCATGTGGGACCTATATGGAGACCAGTTTGCAGCAAAGGTTCAGGTTCCCACCCGACAGGCGAAAAAAAGGGCTTACTAGCAGTGGTAAGCTCGGTGTACGACCCTCTAGGATTCATCTGCCCAATCACCATCAAAGCCAAGCTCATTTTCCAAGACGAATGCAGGCAGGAGAAGGACTGGGAAGAAGACATCACAAAGCAAAACCTTCACAAGTGGTTGCGGTGACTCGAAGATTTGAAATCACTGAGAAACTTCAAAGTTCCTCGCTGCTACAGACCCGGGGGCCTAGGTTGTGCCACCTCATCGCAACTCCATCACTTCTGTGACGCCTCACAAGTGGCCTATGCAGTTGTAACGTACCTACGGACAGTAGATAATGAAGGAAATGCCAGATGTTCTTTCGTTTGTGGCAAGGCTCGTCTGGCCCCTCTCAAACAGCTAATGGTCCCATGGCTAGAACTCTGTGCAGCAGTCCTGGCGACAGGAGCAGACCAGGCAATCAAGCGTGAAATTGGAGTCCACTTGAAGAATCCGTGTTCCGGACGGACAGTATGATTGTGATCAAGTACATCGCCATCCTAGAGAAACGTTTCCATACCTTCGTTGCCAACAGGATCTCAGCTATACATGAAGTCACGGAGAAGGCCCAATGGAGACATATACGATCAAGATGGAATCCAGCAAATGATGCTACAAGAGGCATACCTGTTGAAGACATGTTAAAGGAATGCAGAAGGATTGATGGTCCCTCTTTTTTGTCTTTACCTGAGGAGTACTGGCCGAGAGAACCTGAAATCAGACACGAACTTGAGAATGATCCCGAGGTTAAGCTCGAGGCGGTGTCATCAGCCACAGCAGGAAATAACGCCGATGCCATCATGCAACTGATATGGAGCTGGTACTCTCATGGCATGAGCTGCAGAGAGGTGTACCCTGGATCAGGCGAGTATCCAGCATCCTGAGACACGAACTGCGGAATTCCAAGTGCGCCATCATTCGGTTCCTGCAACGGGAGGCCTATGGTGAGGAGATGAGCCTCCTGCAGCACCGACAGCTGCCAGGACAAAGTCGACTGTACTGACTGAAGCCATACCTAGGCCAAGACGGGCTGCTCAGAGTAGGAGGAAGGTTGCAAGACGCCAAAGAAAAAACTGGACTAGTACTACTGCCCAGAGGCCACCCAGTGACCAATTTTATACTGCGGGAAGCATACGCGGTGGACGCTGGCCATTCCGAAAGAGAACATACACTGTCCATACTCCGGTGTGAGTTCTGGATAGCCCGTTGCCGCTCTCTGCTCGATAAGATAATCAAGGAGTGTGTCACTTGCCGCTGTAACAATTGGAAGCCCACTAGGCAAAGTGAAGCCATGCTGCCCGAAGACCGGACCAAGTCCGGGGGGCGTCCCTTTACCTACACGGACACTGGTTGCTTTGCCTGTTCACAGTAAGACAAGGACGAAAGAGTACCAAGAGATATGGCTGCATATTCACCTGCCTAGCTACTCGTGCAGTGCACCTGGAGGTGTTGGAGTCTCTAGATACAGATGCTCTCGTAAACGCTACTGTCCGCTTCATCGCCAGAAAGGGTACAACTCCAAAACGTATTCGTTCAGACAATGGCATCAACATGGCCGGGGCTTGCAAGGAACTCCGTGCGGCAGTGCATAGTTGGAGGAATGATGAACGCATACACTGACACTTTCAGAAGAAAGATATAGAATGATTATTCAACCCTCCAGTGGCTTCACACATGGAAGGAGTCTGGGAACGGCAAATCCTAACAGTCAGAAAGGTTCTCAGAGCAATTGTGGGGACCCAAGTCCTGGATGAATATCGACTGCAGACGCTATTTTGTGAAGTAGAAGCAATCATAAATAATCGACCCATCACACCTGCCTCGAGCGACGTGAGAGACCTGGAAGTGCTTACACCAGCCCACATCCTTCACGGTGGCCCACAAGCTGATCTGTCACTAGGAGGATGTCTTCTGAAAGACTCATATCAACGACGGTGGCGGCACGTGCAGTTCCTAGCAGACCGCATCTGGAAACGTTGGGTCAGGGAGTACCTTCCACTACTCGGCAAAAGACAGAAGTACATAGAACCAACCCGAAATCTCCAGGAAGGCGACCTTATCCTCGTCACTGGAGAAAATCTTCCTTGCAACAAATGGCCATTAGGCAGGGTCATGGCAGTGGTCCCAGGAGCTGATGGTCTGGTGCACCAGATGCGTGTGCAAACACCGTAAATCTTGGGCAATTGCCCAACGCCGGGAGTGTTATCGTCGCTGGCTTTTTATCACTGGTGTCAGTGCTGACGTTTTGCTGCCTTCCCCGAACAAAACATAAGATCTCAGCCTGCGACCACGTGCCTCAACACACCCCCTCCTCCAACCCGGCCTGTTAACACGCCAGATGTGGCGGCTGGTGGGGGGGAGGACATTTTTAAAAGGGATAAAAAATCCTTTCATTCCTCTCAAACCAGGCAAATTCCTACACTTAAGAATATTTTGACTCTGCCCTATCGTAATGAATTTGTCCCGTTAGTTCGGTCCCTCAAGCTACTAAATATTAATGTTGTTTTCAAGTATGACTCAACCATTACCAATATGTTAATAAGATATAGCCCAAGTTTGAATGTAAATGGAAGTGTTTATTGTATTCCATGTAGCAAATGTAATTGTAATTATGTAGGACAGACAGAAAAAACACTGCAGCTTAGAATCAAACAACATAAGTACAATATCAGAACAGCATCTGAAAGCAGTGCCTTGTTCGTTCATGTTAGGAATAATAATCATCCCATTGCTTGGGAAAAAAGCTTAAAAGTATTTAGAACATAAGAACATAAGAAAATAAGAAGTCTGCAATAGGCCGGTTGGCCTGTGCATGGCAGCTCCTGTCGAGAGTTACTACCACTCTCTATCATCCATGAATCTATCTAGCCTCCTTTTGAAACTTTCCAGAGTTCCCGCACTTACTACAAGGTTGCTAAGCTTGTTCCACTCGTCAACCACCCTATTTGTGAACAAGTTTCTTCCTATCTCCCTCCTAAACCTAAACTTATCCAACTTGAATCCGTTGCTCCGATTCCTATCCTGCTCGGATATTATAAAAACTTTATTGATTCCTTTCACCCACTTGAATACTTCTATCTTATCTCCCCGCACTCTTCGTCTTTCTAGGGAATGCAAGTTAAGTTTCTTTAACCTATCCTGATATGGAAGGTTTCTAAGTCCCGGAATCATTTTTGTCATTCTTCGCTGCTTGCCTTATTTCGAACATGAACGCACTGTTTTCTAGGCCGTAGGTCCGGGCTTACAAGTACCCCTAGGTCTCTTTCATCTTGTGTCACAGAAAGACTTCTGGTTGAAGCTAGTTTGATTAAGGAATTAAAATCAATAAACCTTAGTGATGGTCAGTTCAAAACTGATAATATGTTACATAAATTTATTTGTCAGTGGCCCAAGGTTAAAAATGCTCTGAAAACCTTTGATCTAGATGTATGATAGTTATTTTGTGGGTCCCTTATTTTTGACCTGACCTGACTAGTCACGTCACCCCCTTCTCTTAAGCTCCTCTACGTGTGTGTTGGTGTGGGGATTAGTGGATGACATCATTATGACCTGACCTCATGTTTTTTAAGGTCACCCTGTATATTCGCCCCCGAGGCCCCGTTGAGTCGATGACCTGTGCCTGGGTGGGCTATTCCCCAAAAAAAAAAAAAAAATATATATATATATATATATATATATATATATATATATATATATATATATATATATATATATATATATATATATATATATATATATATATATATATATATATATATATATATATCACTGTAGGTGCGCGTGATCCAGGTATATGCTGATAACCACAAGGGATAAAGATATATATATATATATATATATATATACTTAAGCTATGGACTTGTTACGTGGAAAGCTTAGTTTTATAAGGAAGAGGAGAACCAGGGAAAACTCAAACATATTGACTTTAGTTGGGTTTCTTTAATTACTTACGTTTCGGAAAAATCATTTTCCATCATCAGAGCCTAGTAAACAAAAAGTTTTTAAAAGTTTTATAAAATTCACGTGATATACAAAAATAACATATTATACGAAAATTTACCTTCGATAAAATTTAAAGAAAGAGCAATCCAATTTAAAACCGGCAAAAATGACGAGAGACCTACATACAAAGCTAAAATCAGAAATAAAAAGTGTGAAATAAAAATATACAGGGGGTATTACCTTAATTTAGACGAGCTTTAGTGCGAAAAACACAACAATTCACAAGAAGCCACATCATAAATGGATGGCTTTACTTTATACTGATACAAGGCTTCCATAATGAGGAGGTCCGTCTCACAGTTGCTTCTGCCAAGAACTGAGAAATCAGACGGCGAAAACGGGTGGTCATGTTGGTGGGCGTGGTTGCGAATAGCTGAATGTGGTGGTTGTGTGATTAACGGGCCTGTTCGGACGTAACGGCCCAAGTGTTCATGGATGCTAATTTTCAAATGATTTTTCCGAAACGTAAGTGATTAAAGAATCCCAACTTAGTCAAGATGTTTGTGTTTTCCCTGATTCTCCTCTTCGTTATGAAACTAAGCTTTCCACGTAACAAGTCCATTGCTTAAGTTTATATATATAAATAAATATATAAATAAATATATATATATATATATATATATATATATATATATATATATATATATATATATATATATATATATACGGGAATAGCCCACCCAGGCACAGGTCATCGACTCACAACGGGCCTCGGGGGCAAAAAAATTAGAGTAAAAAAATAATAGAAGAAAAAATATCCTGTTAATTTACAACACGAAGATGCCGGAAAACCATCTTTTGAAGCAAGACAGAGTGTAAGAGGATGAAAACACAGAAGAAGGCAGAGTTTTCCACAATTTGGTTGTGTGAGGAAACAAGAATATATTATAACGGGTTAATCTAGTGTGACCGACATCCACACAAAAACGGTGGGCACCAAGGGCAAGGCGAGTGCTACGAGTTATCCTTGCCGGCGGTACACAGGATGCCAAATCCACA